ATTTTCATCTCGCTGATCCGACAAATAGCGCCAACATTGCTAACATCACGTGCGTACTTAACCGCGACATGTACATATCATATATAATATTAAGTAAGTACCAACCTTTAATGATGACAGTTGTCCGTTCGCTTGTTTCAGGTACTGCGCCAAAATGTTCGTAGGCAACGTGCACACGTTATCCTGGATATGTACTACATTTATCAATGCCACCTACGAACCCACAACAAACAATTAAACACATACCAATAATTTATGGACATTAACCTGTCTATTATGTATATAATGTAATAATGTATATATCGAGAATAATAGTAGGTGCCTACTTGCAAATAATATTAGATTTTATTGTAGCTACAGTTATAATAGGTATTATCAGTCGATTTTCGACAACTTGAATTTCAAGGGGAATAAAATTAAAATCAATTAATGTATTTTCGAGTCTTATACCTACCTCAAACATATTTCAAAAACAGTTCAAGGACAAGAAAAAAATCCATATCGAACATATCGAAACTCGTCTGCAGTATTGTAGCTAGGTATACCTACGAATTAAAGTAAGACTGTAACTCACCGTTTCGTCTGGATGTAAAGTGGAATTTTCAGGAATGTCGCGTATAAGGAATATAACCAAAGGGTAGCAATGCCGAGGGGGAGTTCCCAAATCCAATTTTCCCTCTGGCATAAACATCTGAATGGTTTTTTCAGTATGGCTTGTTTCGCTAAACATTAAAGCAGTTAAGGATATTTTCAACTAATTTAATTTCAAATATTAATAGACAGATATTATATTCATATAATCGAAAAGCCGCTAAATCTGTCAAATATGTCAGTGCCAAGATAAATATTGGTATTAATCAGAAGGATACTGCAAAGTTAATCCACAATGTTGGTAATGTCCACGGAGTAATGAATCATCCTTGACGGCTGTTTGAAATGAGCTCCATGCCTTCCACAGGAAATGATGAAGTTCTCGGATGGAAACGCCCCAAAATGCTTGCAATGTATATGGTACTTGGCTTGAGACCGTGCATCGAAGATCTATAAAAATAAATTTAAATAAGACGATTAAGCGAAATTACATACATAACACTACCATATAAATTATGATAACTATAATTATAAATTATGCTTGATTACCATTTACGTTTAGTGAATATTATCAATATTTTAAAATACATCCTTAAGATAACATCATATATCGCATATGTGTGCGATTGTGTGTGTACAGATACTTAAAAAAAATTTTTTTWAATTTTTTAAATGTATTGGTCACCAGTTATCAGTATTTAATCATATATTAGGTATACCTATTAATGCAATAATAGCTTCACGACAATGGTCTCAAGGGCATGTTTGTTGAGACTATTATTAATGGCGAGTGCACAATACAATAACCTCGAACTAATATATAAACTAGAGTAAGAACACACAAATTTGAATACAAATTCAGCATTTCATATCTTTTTAAACGAAAAAAATCTACCTACTCAAATAGTAACCTTTGAAATAAAATAATATTTTAGTAATGTTCTTTCAATAAAAAATTATGAATTTATAAATCGAGAAGATTATTATGTCTGATATTTTATTTTAATAGGTTTATGCATAACCTTCGTTAACATTAAAMTATGTTTCATAAATATTAACAACAATAGATCCAATCAATATTTATCATAAAAATTGAATGATTTAATTTGTAAATTATTTATATTTACGGAACACATTATATTCACATATATATATAT